GGTGCGAAAGTATGGACTAAAAACATTTTTTATTATTATTCCACACATATCGCCCTATTTCCGTAAAAGTTTCAATCGTTACTAAAACGGATAATGCGCCCGTAAAAAACTTCGCATTCACATCATTACATACAGCCTGACCCCATCATACCACGATCTCTGAAAACCTCAAATCGACCGCTTGTAACAACGCAAGATGTCCACCCTCTCCAAAAGTCCAGTACGACCCCTCTCGTTGTCCCTTGCTCAAGCTACAGTTCACCGTGCTAAATGCTTTCTAATCTCAGTTCAGATGTCGGAAAGAACAAAGCATAAAGTTTACTGAATTGAAACTGAAACTGTTATACTTACGAGTTCATTACAACTATTCGGAAAAACAATCCCAATTCATGTGAATTCTTGCAAATGTCTATTGTAAGTACCTGAAGTTCACATGAAGATTTCTTTGTGTGGCACATATGTAGAAGACCATCGAAACAATCGGTAGAAATATTATACTTATGGAAAATTCCACTGCATAGAATACAATATTCCATCCTCGAAATAGTGGATCAGCCATACTGAAACTAAACGATTGACTTCCATCTATTAGGTTGTCTCATAAGTAGTGGCGCATTTTTTCAAACGGAAATTTTTCTTGTGAACCTCTAATGTTTTACAATGTTTCATATACCATTCGATAGGAAATTATCTGCTCTACAAGAAGGTATGTACCCTTTTTTTGATTGTTGCAAATTGTTTGAGTTTTAGGCATGCAAAGTGGGAGGTCCGGACGACGAATTTTCGCCAAACCGACAGCTGACCTAAACTTTATACTTCCCTAGAAGAAATCAATCAATAATGTAACTATAACTTACTCATAACCTCTACTAAACATTCCACATTTAGGTTCCCTAAAAGCTTGTCTCGTTTAATTTTGAGATTTAGTTATTCCAGTGCAACTCGGTGGTTGCCTGTCAACCCATAGGGCTTCCTTCAGACTGATATTTTCCATTCCAATTCCTCAGTATTGACGCTACTTTATACACCTGTAGGAAGCGTTTCTTCTGCTCTACTTACCCGCATGCAGAATTTGGTTTTGATTTCAATCCTGGTCGAGTTTCAGCATAGAAAATGGTGGTATGTCAAGTCGACGAAAAGGAACACTTCCGGCACCTTCTGCTGTTCACCTTCAACCAAGGATCGAGTGCCACAAAAGCCGGCAGGCAACCACCGAGTTGCACTGGAATAACTAAATCTCAAAATTAAACGAGACAAGCTTTTAGGGAACCTAAATGTGGAATGTTTAGTAGAGGTTATGAGTAAGTTATAGTTACATTATTGATTGATTTCTTCTAGGGAAGTATAAAGTTTAGGTCAGCTGTCGGTTTGGCGAAAATTCGTCGTCTGAAGCTCCCACTTTGCATGCCTAAAACTCAAACAATTTGCAACAATCAAAAAAAGGGTACATACCTTCTTGTAGAGCAGATAATTTCCTATCGAATGGTATAT